ATTTACTAATATGTACTTTGAAATGTTTAGTTAATGTTCAGTTTTGGGTGAAAAATCTCGATAAGTTTTAGATAAGAAAGTTTGAAAAAAATTGAAGTATTCGGAAAGCGTAGTGCGATTAATGCACATTAATCGGCTCACTTTTAATCGTGATTCCGAATATGATATTTCTATTGCATAAAAGTTAAGTCCTGATCGAGAAAATCGAGAATCACTGAAGAATTCCGACTTTTTTGCCCCTGATTTAGAAAAAATAAACCCTCTCCGCAACAAAACAAAATTTTAAAAAAAGCGTACTTTAAAACCTAAGCTGTCAGCAAACCTAATGACGTGCAAACGAGGACTTCTATCATTAAAACAAAAAAGCAGATAGGGTCATAAAATGGCATGCTCACACTTTAGAGGGCTGGTTTGGGACATCCAAGCTCGATAGGCTTTTAACTTCGAAATTCATCAAACACTATCTTTCCATTTAGTCGTTAACGCTAAATCGGATAAAATTGCTTGAAAACGACGAAACAATGTAGGGTCGAGATATAAAAGATTTTTTTCTTTGAATTCAAAAATAAAGACCGTCTTCCACTCTCGTCTTAGCGTTTGATATAATAGTATTTCTATTTGAGGTGATAAAAAAATCTATAACACACTATATGTCTGCGTTTGCATGGTTTTTAAAAACTATGAAAAGTCGTGAGATTTTCTTAAAAGTTTAATTAAGATTTTAACAGAGCTATGGATATTTTATTGATAAAAAAGCGGGCGATTTGTTGAAAAAAATTAATTGTTTTGAAAAACTGTTTACTTTGCGTTTGTAGGATTTTATCACGACCAGAGAACGACAAAGTTTAGATAATACACAGATGATTCTGCTATATGCCTGCTCAGCTAAAAATATACACTCTGCTACGCTGTACAGTTCAAAACTGACACACGATGTGTTAAAGAGAAAGCAGAACTCACCTTCATTTATGGAGAAAAATGCACCACAACAGGAAATCGAAATGCTGCAACCTATGTTCTATCCAAATGGAATTATTCTCTACTTTAGTAAGAAAACAAGATTGAAGAAAAATGTGCCCTGTGTGGAAATCAAAACTAGGACCCTTATGTTACACGTCAGAAGCTCTAACCGCTGAGCAACTGAGACACGATTTTTACCCTAATTCAAACAGTTAAGAGAGGAAACTAAACGTATATAAGTAATACTGTTTTAGTGCCGTACTTTACATATTGTCGCTTAGAACAGTTTGACAAAGAAGCGAAGCGTTAACAATGTAATGAGATAATAATAAATTAAAATGTTTTTGAAAGAAACATTTTATAAGCCAATTCTAAAATAAAATGAAAAGTAGTTACACTATAACAATTATTTCCTCAGCAAAATTTTGTTGATGAGTCAGTCGTTGCTGCCTGTGTTTGTTTTACCTAATTCTCTATAAACTAGCTCCACAACATGACTCAGCGAGTTGTGTATGGTATTAAGGAGGATTAAATATGAAAAAATTAACATAAATCTGATAAGATCGTATCATGACAACTCAGTGGTTCGAGCTTTTGGCCTATAATACAGACTTTCGAGTTTCCGTTGACGGGCATTTTTCTTCATAAATGAAGGTGAGTCCGTCGTTCGCTTTAAGAATTTCAAGCGAACAGCGATAAACGAACAATTATTTAACTATATCCTAACCTTAAAGAGCCGTTGCCTTTTTGATCTACGAGTTGCTTTTGAGTATCAGAAAAGCTTTTAATTTAATAAATAGTATCAGATAAAAATACACTGCAACGCATTATATACAACAACATTCATCTAACACTTTTAGGTTCTAATCCGCTATATTAATTTCTTCATCACTATCATCTTGTTGACTGTTAGCTTGCTGGCCAGAGGAGGGTACGCAATTCGCAAGAATTGAAGTAATATGTCCTTGAGATGGTTGAGTAGCACTTTGAGGAACTAGGTTCGATTGATGAGGACGAGGGCATATTACAGGAAAAGGTCTCATCTGTACTGGAGCAGGTAAAATAGGACGGAACCTGTGCTGTGGCAAATGAATTTGCGCATCAGTAAACTGTGCCAAATTAGATTGGTGGACAATGGGCCCTGCTAGAGGAACGACAGTAACATTGTCAGTATTGCCTCCACTTGTAACAGTGTTCTGAGATCGAGCTTGTTGTGAGTGAAATTTTGCTAAATGAGTATTTAGAAATTGTTGTTTTTTATAAAAGGGTCTCGAATAATAACAATATGGACATTGTAAAGGATTTTGCGGTAAATTATGAGGTGAATGTATCTGATAGTTGAAAAACTGATCCTTGTGTAATCGGTATATGTGGTTTTGGAGACCTTCGACAGTAGTAAAACTGTGCGTACAATGTGGACCTAAAACATAAAAATATTATGTAAACAACATTGACTATAAGTTAAACAAATAAACAGCAAATGGTTGTTATTCTTCTAGTGAATATAATGTATAAATTTACTTACAGTGATACCATTGTGTAGCACTCTGAGTTTTTTGAAAAAAATATGTAACAAACACTAAAAATGCAACACGAACCGAAGTCATTTTTAAAAACAAAACGAATTAACGAATTATCATCAAAAAATTTCTAATAAAAAAATACTTAGTGACCGTACATTTCGCAAAACGAAAACAGTAACACGATGAGAAAATATAGAACTGATGGCATAAAATTATATTTTCTTTTGAATCATCATTTAAGGTGAAAAATTTTAAAATAGACAATAAGATATAAACCACCTTTATCATAATGAAAATAGCTATTTTCCGTTAGAGACGTTTCGTCTTTATTCAAAAGACATTAAAAAAATGTCTTTTGAATAAAGACGAAACGTCTCTAACGGAAAATAGCTATTTTCATTATGATAAAGGTGGTTTATATCTTATTGTCTATTATATTTTCTTGCTCAAGCAATTATTTGTGTGTTTCTTAAAATGTAACTCTGATACTTTGAAAAAAGCAATTTTTGTTCATTAAGTAGACATTGCTTTTACTAAATAATGTGAGCGACTGCGATTTCAGGAGAGTCCTGTTTTTAACTGTACTACTAAGTATATGAGAAGAGAAAAAGAATAGATTTTCCCGACTATCACTATAAATATGGCTGTGATATAAGAGAATCATTCAAAACCCATGAAAAATGCTTCACAATTTAGCTGAATTTTACGTAAACCATCTTTGACCGTGAAAAGTTTCTTCTGACAGAAAAAACCGATGTGAAACAATATCACTATCAACGTTAACTCTCGTTACTACCGGAAATCCTACTTCTCAAAACTATATAAGCACTATAAATTCTTCTCAGCATCTCACGAGGGAAACCCACCAAAACCCTAAATGCTCATTGTCAACTCAAAGCTACAGAAATAAGAAGAAATGAATTCAGGGCTTTTCTTGTAAATTCTATAACTTTGCAAAGAAAGATCGTGTAGAGCTGGGGAATGTCTTATTTTGATCAGAATTCGCGCGCTACAAACATAACTTATTAAGAAAAGTTTCGGAGGTTTTTTGGAGTTTCTGGAAAACTGGTTTTCTAGAAAACCTGTCGCTGAAGGCTTATTAGGCCGTCTCATGTTAATATTCGGAATCAGCATGCTCGATTACCCTCAGTCAACTGAGTCTCACCTCAAAAGCGAGGGAACACTTGGTGGCCTTCCCTCGTCAGTGTTTTCAAGCAGTTTTGGGCACCAATTGGTGTAGTGCTGTTCCATGTATTCCTTTGAGCTTGTTGGAGTGCAACAAGGTCTTTCAGTGTTTTACGAAGTCTTTGTATCTCTAAAAAACTTTCAAAACTTTATCAAACTATTTGAAGCCAATCGTGTCTTTGTTGGTTGTAATAAAAATGAGAAGTGATGAATTCTAAGTGCGCAAGAAAGATTTGTAAGCTCTTCAAGAGTTGTTCATCCAGGCATGAACAGGAAACCTCAAAAGTTATATGAATAAAATAATGTTAGGTGGTAGTTCATACATCTGAATCTATCATCTGCTTATATGTGTTCTTGTTGTATTCTCTCTTATTTGGTATTTTCCTTTCGTTCTCCTTTATTCGTTTTGTTTGTGTATCACATATATTTGGATTTTTCCATTACTGTCTATTACATATGTTTTGTCATTTCCTCTCTTTCTCTATGTGTTACCTTTTCATATGTAGTAGTATGTCTCATGGGATCTATCCTCAGCATCCCATAGACATTTCCTAAAGATGTGTGATCCGCTATCCCATACATAGTCAGCGACTTTCTATGAATAAACAGTGTGTTATACGACTAATTCATCTGGTCTTATCATTCAGTCGACGATATAGAGTTAGCCACCTAGCAATAGCATATGAGTGTGACATCATATGCCGACTCAGGCTCTATGGAATGCGGGACGTAACTTTGTTGCCTGATTCATCACGCCATGATTTCTCTTTGAAAAAGTGTCGTCTTCAGCGAAAAAATTGACTCAATCATTTTATATCCCTGATGGTGTTGTTTACCATTAAAACAGGCGGAGAAGTTTTAAGAGTCAAAGTCAGGCGGGACAAAAGTGTGCGAAGCGAGATCCTTCAGAATAGGAGACTCTTTCAGTGTTCAACGAAGCCCTGTCCATGATTTCACTGTGAAAAAACGAGAGCAGAGTAATTAACCCTAAATTAAGTTTGTTATACGATGCACTTTCATAGACCTTTATACTCTTGTCAAGATAATAGACCCTCGAACGATTTTTTATTTTTCTTTCATAAACACTCGAAAATTTTGTTATCTTGATAAGAATATACAGGTTTATTACAGTAATGGATCCTTTTTTAGCGTTTATTACTCTGCTCTTTTTGTTTACAGTGATTATTTGTTATTGTCATCTGATAACTAAGTGTATTTTTTATAATAAAGAAAAATTAATTCTCATATTAATCTACAAAATAATACTAAATGCGTAACCAAGTCATACACATGAGTCTGTTTTGTGAAAATTTGACATAGAAAAACAAAATTTTAAGTTTTTCGAATTTTAAATTGTTGGATACGATGATTGTTTGAATCGGCTACATAAAAGTTGCCTTTGTGATCGAATACTAAACTTTCAGGGCAGATTAGTTGATGTGCATTATTTCCTGGAAGGAAACAATCGCCAGCGATAATATCGGGTTCTTTGCCTTTGCGCCAGCGCATTAGCCCATGATTCCAATGATCAGCTACGTAAATCGTACCTAGTTGATCGACAAGTACTCCTGCAGGATAATCCAACTGTGTTCGATCTTTTCCTTTTCCTTTACCATCAGCCACAATAATGCCTTCTTTCGCATTTTTCTTCCATGTTATTACGCGATCATTCCAAGAATCCGATACATAGACGGAGTAATCATCTCCAACAGAAATATATGTCGGATGACTGAGTTGTTTAAGACGAGAACCTTGTCCATTGCCACCAGCTACTAATTTTCCAAACTTTGCATTCATATCGTACCGTCGCACTTCGTGTCGTACGGTATCAGAAATGTAAAGAGCTCCGTTAATATCGATTGCCAATGCAAAACATGCAATATTCTTTATGAGTATTCTTGCACAACTTGCACTTCCAGGAAACCATTGTAATACGGGTCGATTGTCATAATCGCAGATGGTAAAACTCTTCGTTTCAGGGTGGAAAATTATATCGGATGGCTTAGCTAGTAGATCAGATCCATATCCTTGTATATTTTTAGTTGCTATTCTTTGAATTCTTCCAGTATTCAACTTATATTTCATAATACGATGATTTGAACTATCAGCAATCAAAAGTGTTTGGTTTTTAGATATTGAAATGCCTTGTGGAGTGTGGAGAATGACGTCTATTTATTATAGAACCGGGATCACAATCACCAACTACAGTGTGCGCGTTAGACTTCCATACGGCATTTAATGGAATATCCGGTAAAGCTGTAATGAGAAAGTGACAGAGAATTATCATCTATTTAAAGCAAATTTTATGAAAAGCATGATTTCTAGTACAAAACAACTCGTTATCCAATCGAACTATAATTTTTCATCTATGTCCCAGAAGTAATTTCAATAACCCTGCTATTGACGGAATATATTTCCGTTGAAATAAATACAGACATTCTTATTAATTTGATTAGCGGATACTGCTACCGAAATGAATCAGTTTTGTAAAGATCCTCAAGTTCATCTCAAACTAGAAAAATGATATTCAGTGGAATTCGTTCAAATATGCAATCACATCATCGATTTACGGTACCACTCAACCAAATGAGCACAGGTTATACTGAAGATTTGAGATAATTAATATTCGAATCTACACTTATTTCGAAAACCTCACATAAAAATATAACTTCGTTATTTTAATCAGGTAGATATAAAGATAAAAAACATTTCCATTTTATACTATACGTACAGCTGGCCACTAGATTGAGGTAGACCGGTTCATATTCTGGTAGTTCGCTTATAAAAAATGGGTGCAATCGTCGATGCCTTTTTCGATAAACATCTTCTGCTATGTGTTGAAAAACTGCATCGACAGACACATTTTTTTTATCAATATTTAGCAGTAGATGTTTGTTGAACAAATCATCCTTTGTTATTTTATCTGGTGCACATGAAAACTGGATGAATACTTTTCTTCCATCAGGTACATCCATTGCTCAAAAACCTCTATTTTGAGAAGTAGCTATGAACAAATACATAGATATTGTCGAGAAACTCGTATTAATGATAAAATTTACGAGTTTTTGCCGATTCTTTGTTCAGTGTATATGGTCTGCAGCAATCCAAAATTAGTATTAATACACACTCTGATTTATTTTTGATCAGTATGTCGAGTATTCGTTTAAGATTAGCACCAAAGGCTTCAACATCTTCGTCACTGTCTATTAGTATCATTAGTAGGTACAAGATAGTTGTTTCCATTAAATTGTAGAGCGTGACCCGACAAATAACACAAGACTATATCACCATTCTTAAATGTTTTTGTAAAAACTATCACTTGTTCCATAATTTCATCTTCTTCAGAAAGATTCTTGTGTTTGGTAACAGTAAACTTAATGTTGTAAAGTATATCAACCAGTCTTCTTCATGTTTTGATTGAATCAGTGAGTCGATTTTCTGGTCGAGAGTAGTTATCGTTTCTGATGATCAAAGCGTGCTTTTGAATATTGGCAGATGGACCTGGAAACATTATCGATCAATGCGATGAGAATTTATACCTTGAAATATAGTTTTTCTCATCGACGCGGTAGCTGAAACCGAAAAAGTAAACAAATATCATGTCGTTCTTTTGAATATCTTCTTGAAAATCTTGTATTGCGCTCATAATATAGTCTTCGACATTAATCTTCATGGTAACTTCGAATTTGATACTCCTACGATGAGCGCAAAGTTTCTCAACACTATCCTTGAAATGGTTCAGTGGGCGATCGGATCGTTTATATTCGTAGTTGCAAATAATTAGCGCTAGCTTTCGGCGATCAGATACGTCTCGAGTGAAAGTTGCCATATACAGTTTTGATCTGAAATGTCAAATAAAATCGTCTTGATTTGTCAAAGCTTACAAAAGAGCACGAAGCAGGGAATCCCGGCATTCTTATATCCTTGACTTATTGAAAGAACTAAAGGATTTCCGGATTCGAGGATTCCAGGACTCCAGAATTCGAGGATTCCAGCATTGCAAAAAACTTGTCCTCCCGTCGGAATAAGAAAACTACAGCTATGTAAATAAATGCAACTGTAAAATAAGCTCTCTTATGTAAATTGTGGGGCTTTTCACGCTGTATCTTGTGGTGTGTTTTGGTTTTTGTTTAACAGAAAATATCAGCTAAAGCAAAGATGAAAGAAGAAAAAAACGGATTTGTCTTTTGTCAAAAACACATTGTTATCGCAGCGTCGAAATTCAATCACTTGGAAGTTTGCCGATTTTTTAACAAAAAAATGCAACTGTAAAATTAGTTGTCCTATGTAAAATATAGAGCTTTTCACGCTGCATCTTCTGGTATATTTTGTTTTTTGAATAAAACGTATTTAGGGATTAAAATATGGAACACAAAGCTCGCCTATTTATGCTGAGTCACCCGTGATCAGATTACATGCACTTAGGGGAAAAAGAAATGATGGACCACAGCAAAGTACAAGACTTATAAGTCTGAAATTTTGCATATAGTCTTAAATATGTCTAAGTATTATAACAGAATACTCGAACTCAAACTGGAACTTTTAGAAGAACCGGGCGAAAAAACTTTTGGAGTGACCCTTGTGTACCGCTCTCGCTTATTGATGATATTTGACCTCTTTATTTTGTTCTTATATTTTTGTCCCTATTATACTTTGATCTGTTCTGTCCTTATAATAGTTTTCTTTCTCTAACGAACGAGTATATAAGTGTATACATTGTATGGAAACGATGCGATTCTCGATAGGAAGAAATATAATATAGTTAGTCGGTTCATCATATAGTTTAGTCCCATGAAATATTTTTGATACCCTAACGCAAGATAGCACGCGTTAAAACAAATAATATTTTAACGCATGCGCACAGGTTAAATGGTCTGGAATGCGTGCAAACGTGTTATCTTCTGAACTTGTATGAGACCAGAAATGTCTCGAAATTAATCCTAACTAGTTAAAAACACAATTTCATTA